GATAATTGATGTAGTAAGACGTGAGACAAGCTTGCTAACCATTACATCACATTGAAGTGCCCAAATTCTTGCTACCTATATGTGTGTATATGAGAGAGAGAGAGGGAAAGATAAAAAGAATCTGTGCATATATATATATATATATATATATATATATATATATATATATATATATATAAAACACTCCCAAGAGTGCAAAATATTACACTAGATTGAAACACCAATAAAACTGATTTGCCTTCTGCAGGTTATTTAAAGCTAGAAAATATTTTTTAGATTGTAAGAATTTTTTCTGAGAAAATAATGATTTAGTGATACAAGTCTTACTAATTAACCCATAGCTGGGGAGAGAAGAGGCAGTGTCAGACCTTTCCCAAAGGTATTTGTGCATCAGTGAACATAAGCTAACTGGAATTGGAACTCAGCTCTCTGATTAACAATTCAGAGATGTTATCCATTACACCACTCTCACATCCAAGTTTACACCACTTGATATTCTCAAGCGGTCACCCATCTAGGTACTCATCAGGCTTGACATTGCTTAACTTTCGTGATTGTATGGAAACTGTAAGTCTACCAATCCATATGTAAAGTCCTTGTCATTTTCATGAGGATAATGTGAGCAATAATAATTATAAGAAACATTTTTCAGTGTATTGATGCTAAACTATACACGGTTCTCATGGCCTCGAATCTTAATAGAATCCTTGACATGGTGCATTAAGATGAATTACAGTAAATATCTCATAATCATGACGAAAAGATGTTCCCTCAGGGAGGTTCAGCACCTTGAGCAACTATTGGGACTTAAACTCAACCCAGACCTCAAGTGGAACGATGCATCACTAAAAATGCTAAGAAAATGGCTGGTTCCCTATACCACCCCTGCAAGTACCTGACTCCTGCTATCCTCTACAAGAATCATATCAGGCCAAAAATGGAGTACTGCTGCCATATATAGGCAGGAGCTGCACAGACTTCACTTTCCACTCTTGATAGTCCAAAAGCGTTTCCATGTCCTTGCAGGCAACAAATTATTTTCCACTCTGCAATCCCGTTCTCACAAACAAGACTCATTGCCCTATCGTTATTTTGATGGTGAGTGTTCAGATGAACTATACCGTCTTAGTTCCAGCAGTCCTAACCTTCATAGCTAAGACCCACCATATCACGTATATTGTAGCTTCTCATGAACTGCTGTCTTGTAGAATTGACTCTCAAGAAGCTGCTCCCACAATCGCAACCTGTTCAAATCTAGGGTTAAAAGTTATATTCTGCACATAATCTGTATCTCTTAAACCCTCTACCTCGAGTGGACCCTTGTATAGGGTGAACACCACCATAAAAAAAAATAATAATACTACAGCCTGTCAATTGCCTGACCATAACCAGTTGGTCATGTCTCCTCAGGGTTGATGCATTGTGCATCTTTGTTAATGATTGGAAGAGCATCATTGCCAGGTGACAATAGTTTTTAAGTTTGAAAGATGCCAAGGTGACATGAGCATCACATCTAGATACTTGGAAACACCTAGAGACTGAGTGAACTGCGTTACCAGACTGGTGGACATATCTCAACAGACCCCTTCACATACAGTTATGCATGGCTTTTAGTATCAAAACCTGTCACCATATTGTGCCCATCTAGCTGTGATGCATTTGCTTTGTATATCCCTATCTGGGTGGCATAATAGGTAATTGGCCTTCATATATTTGCACCCTAGTGTCACTTAGTTGGTGGTGTGTTGTTCTCTCACTCAATCAAATAAGAAAACACAAATGCTTCTTGGTGGTAGTAGGGGGAGGAAATGCCATTCATTAAACACATGCGGATACATTAATTGAATTTTCAGCAACTAAACTTTTTAAATTATTCATTATAATATTTTTCAAATATATTTTTTTTTATTTATTTTTTACTAAATGAAGCCCGACATCAATAGTGTCTGAACCATTTCCAGAATTATATGCTTGTAAAATAAGCCAAAGTAACCAGGATATGAAATGTGAGAAAGACAAAGTAATTTGTCTATAAGAATCAGTTTCAGAAATAAAAGGGACAGTGTGATTGGTTAGTGGAATACAGGAATTTAGGTAAAAATGGTGCAAGTACGAAAAAAATGGTGCAAAGCAAATATCAGTGGCTCTATCACAACCCCATCATGAAGTTATAGCAAGTAATCAAGGAAAAAGAAAAGATTTGCTTCCAAGGCAAGATGTATACAAAAGATTACAAGATTAACTACAGTGTAACCCGGATATAAGAGAAACCCGGATATAAGAGACTTCTTCTCCGGTCCCGACAACTCTCTTATATCCGGGTTACACTGTACTATCAGATGGAGATGTGTAAGGTAAGGAGAACTTCTTTTTGTAAAGATACCATTACCACCAGCCTTGATATGACTGACCAGCTAAAAACCATAACCATGCTCATGATTATGCAGTTATTGCATATATGAAATACATCAACAATATCTATCCACAAGTACCAGAAAGACTTGAAAATCTGCAACTTACTGGAGAATGGACTACTACTGCTGCTCCCAAGCATTTTGCCATTTTTTCCTATTTCCCTATTTGTGTCATTTTTACCTGTGCACAGGAATATAGATAGCACAATGTAAATAAAATTTAAAATATCTTGCCTAAATAAACGAATAAAGAATATTCAAAGTTCTAGTTCTACAGTTGGTAAACGTATCCACGTGTTTGCTCACATGGCAGTTATAGACATAGTTAATTACGACAATAAAAAAATAATTCACAACTTTTACAAGTAATGAGATTATGACTAACACGCCATTGTCAGATTTTTTTTTTTTTGACGGGGGTGGGGGGAATTTGTTAAAATAAAAATAATAACATCTTTAGGCAAAAATAAAAACCGTTTTTCAACTTCTCTTGATCAATATGGCCACTTTCTCGAGAAAAAACAAAAAACACTGAGTGGCATTCCAATCCTTGAACCATCTGACTTTTTTTCATTCAATTCTATAGTGAGCAATTTTCTACCGGGATAAAAAGAAAAAAAAAAAAAAAAAAAAATGGTTGTTGGGCGTTAGTTTTTTTTTTTTTTAAAACCAAAACTGATTACTAAATAATTCTTTTTACATGTATCACAGAAAAGTGAAAAATTATCCTTTGCTGACGTTAAATCAGAAATTCACATCAAACTTTACTTTATCATTTTTTTATGTAAAAAGGACGCAAAGGAAAAAAAAAAAAAAGTTTTTTTTTAGGATTTCATTTTTAATTCTTTTGGGTTCTTTAGGTTTTTGTAGACTAAGAAATATTCTTGTATATTTCTTCTATCTTGTCAGGAGAATAAAGAATCTGTACAAGACAATATGTGATATTAAGAATTTAAGAGTTTTAAGAAGAAGACGAATATTTAAATTAAAAAGGACGGTGAGAATATTAAATAAAATGGTTACGGGAACTTGACAGTCGTTCATCTTGCATAAAAATGAAATCATTAACAAATGATTTTTAAAATTTATTTTTCTTTTAAATTTTCCAAAAGAAATATTTCATTTTACATTCAAAAGAAAAAAAACTATTTTCAAACACCATGCATAAAACTTCATGGTGTTTGAAAAAAAAAAAAAAAAAGTTCACATTTTCACCTCAAGAGTAGTTCTCTAATTTTTCATTGATTTTAAAAAATATTTTTTGTTTTTAGCGAACCAGAAAATGGTGCCATGCCGTCAATGTTTCGCAAGCTAATCTTGTTTAGCAAGGTCGATCTTTTTGGAGCGCTCTAGTAATGTAGCCTTGTGCCAACCTAAGCTTATTTAAATAATTATAAAACTTCGGATGAAATAAAAAAAAAAAATAAATAAAATTATTCAGTTATTATTTATATAAAAAAAAAAAATAGGAAGTTATAATCAACTTTCAATTGTAATTTCCTTTCAATTAAACTAGTTATATTTAAAAAGGGTGACTCGTAAATTTTTCGCTTTTTTATTCAAATGGGGAAAAAAAAAAAAGGATATTTTGGGGGGGGGGATTCGTAAAGCAGATTTTTAAAAAAAAATTTTTAAAGTAAGAAAAAAAAAAAAAACAAACAAAAAAACAAAACGGAAATATCCTCATTTGTTCTGGAAAAGGAATTTACAAAATCTGAACGAAAACAAAAATATTATTTTTAAATGCCATCAAAATTAAAAATAAGTAAATAAATGAAATTGACAAAGTTTGTTTTTGACATCGGCAATTTCAGATTTTTTTCCTCAACCATCGTGGAACCATAGACTTTTTTGGGGATCGTATCAAAGTATTTGATATTCATTTTTTAAAAGAAAAAGATTTAAAACATACAGACACAAACAAAAATGCTTATATAACGGTTGGTTTATTATTTTTAAACTGTAGTAATTTCATCTTTTTTGAAATGATAAAAAAAAAAAGTTTTAATGTCTATTGTCTGCCCTTGACAATAAAACCGTTATCATTTTTTTTGTGTGGCTACGAAAGAATCGAGATTGAAACAATGGACAAAGCTGCAGAGTAGACCAAATATAATACTGACAAATATATAAAAAATATTTAGTAATTTTCATAGTTTTATTTGAACCGGCGAAGTAAAAAATAAGAAAATAAGAAATTTAAAAAAAAAATACGAAACTAAAAAGTTATTGTCTTCGGGATCAATTTATAAAAGTAAATAATAATATTGAATTTTACAAGTATTAATTTAATTCGCATAATAAAAACAAATATACATACATATATATATATATATATATATATATATATATATATATATATATATATATTAGAGTTTTCGAAGACTGAGAAAAGGAAATTTAAAAAAAAAAAAATGTTAAATAAAATATTGAATTGAAAACAAAGAGAATCCCGCCCACACTTAAAGCATAACAAGACCACGTGACTCAAGACTAAAAATCAGAAAGAAGGGGGGAAAAAAGGTGAAGGAATTGGAAGAGTTAGAGATCAACATCTTAATAATTAGAAACAAAATTAAAGACAAGTTAAGAAAGAAAGAAAAAGAAATATTCATAATTAATCATACCTCTGATAGAATCAAAAACTTTTATATCAGGTCCAGAGCCAGTCGCGTGGTTCAGGCCATCTTCCAAGTGGTTAGAATTTGCTGTGAGTGGGGTCGGTTGAAAAGCGGATGGCTGTATTTGTAAGTGATGAGGTGAAGTTGGGTTGTGTTGGCTCAGTCGGTAGTCGGTCTGTGGTTGAGAGTGAAGATTGACTTCATGGCTTTGTTGGTGATGGTGAATATCATCGGGATCAGGGGACGAGGCGTGGTTGTTAAAATGGATACGATCTGCGCTGCCGGAGACTGATACAACAGCAAGAGTATCGGTAGGATAAACGTCTTCCGGCTCTTGAGAATGTCCTTGTTGACTGACCACCACTGCTGAATCGTGAGGGTAGCCAACGCTAACCTGAAGTCGCTCGCTTACATCTTCATCGGCGACCACAGCTGCTCCTACGTCGTCGTCGTCATCATCGTCGTCGTCGTCAACAGTGGTGGAAACATCATAATCCAAATGCATGACAGACGGTCGAATTTTTCTTCGAGGTCTTTCCACCTCGGCCACGTTTTCCTCATCCTCCAAGACCCCGTTCTTGTCGTAGTCCAAGTGGACCAGAGAGGGCCGACTTTTTCGTCGTGTCCGGCTAACTTCAGTCACCTCTTCATCGATGCCGTCCTCAACAGATACTGTAGCTGTCGGGCCGATATTTTTCCGGTTGTTAGGGGTCTTCTTTTTGCGTTTTTTGTTGCTGCTTGAGGTTTTGGGTTCAGGTCTTTGACGGTTGGCAACTGCAGTAGTAGGTGGCAAGCTTTGGCTGAAGTCGGTCAACCCTGGGCTCCCCGAATGTGACGACAGATCTCCAGTGGATATTCCATTCGTAGATCGAATGCTATTTATATTGTTACTGATATTGTTATAATTGATATTGTTGCTGTTATTGGTAAGAATATTATTAAGAATAATTGTACCTGCGTTATCAATGCTGCTAGTGTTGTTAGAGGGAGAAGACCCCGAAACTTCGTTGGTACTTGCTGAGTTCGACATTCCACCAACCGTGAGAAGTGTCAAAGCGCTTCCAGACCCACCGCTTCCAATATTAGAAGAGGAAGACGTTCCACCCGGCGGGACCAACGTAAGAGTCCCCGAGTCGTTGCTACCTGCCTCACCGGGAACACGTAAAAAGTCAACCCGGGACCGGCTTTTAAGGTTCTTCCAGCATTGTCGCAATTGCTTGACTGAACGCGCTGATACGTCGTTTTCGGCGTTATATTTGTTTGTTAAGGTAATCCAAGCAGAATTCTTCTCTCTAACAGTCACTCCATCGGTGTGTCGGTCCTCGACTATATGTCGATATTCTTGCATCAAAGAGAGTAGAACCTGCTTTTCGTGATGCGTGAAGTTAGCTGAACGCCGCGTGGACATTCGAACTCGCTTCTCAGTTTTTGTGGCTTTTGTCTTGGCCATTTTCAGTTTAAATTAAGACTTCAAACAGAGGGAAAAAAAGTAGAAGTGCTGTAAAGAACAGCTTCTAATGAGAAAAATCACAGAGTTAGCTTTTTTTTTTCTCTCTAACACTCAGACTTCGATCAGAATTCGATACTGACTCCCGATCGCAATTCTAGTCAACGATCAGGTTAGATTTTTGAAGCGTGATCAAATGGACGATCAAATCTACCAGAGTCAATAGAGGCTGTGTTTAAATTAATTTTATGGTAGATTCTCTTAGTTTAGTGAATGCTAGACGAATGAATCGGAGGCGACCAAATCGAAGATCAGTAACAATGATCTAACGCATGTTTTGAACTGCGATGGCGCTGTTGGGGTAAGAAGCGGCAAACGATAGTAGACAGTCATCAGCTCTGCCTTAATCTGTCGGGGTTTCGCCCTATGACCTTCCAAAAGAAAAGAAAACACCACAGGTATTATCAACCCTGCCTGCAGATTATAAAAGATGACAATAATAATAGTGGGAAGAGCTGTCACGTTTTTAGTGACTCTGTGATGAAGTGACAGAAACTGTAGACTTGAGACGAGGACTAGAATTTAGTATCCAGATACTGCAATGGCGCTGGTAGTGGTGGTGATAATAATAATAGTAGTAGTAGTAGTAATTTGTGGAGATGGTTCAACTGAGTTAGAATTTAAAACCATGATTCAAAATTTAGTTGTAGTTGAAAGATTATAACTCGGACAGAAAGATAGAGTGTTTGAACATTGTATTAACGAATAAAATAGTTTTTTTTGTATCAAAGCATATGTTTAAAAAAATGTAGATCGATTATCACATAAGATCAAATAAAAAAAAATTTAAAACTTTAAACTCTTGAAAATAAACCTGGTTTTATATAAAATAGATTTTTTTTCCTATTTTTAGAATTTTCGTTTATTGCTAAATCAACAATATTCGTTGTAGACAAAATTAAAACTGGGATTTATAAGACAACTGAGCTGTTATTCGAATATATTAATATTTTTCGAGCTCAAAGAAAATAAAAAATAAAACACGTGATTTTTTTTTTAATGCATATTTCAAATATTGCACGATTAAGATAAAAATATATTTGATTAAAATTCAATTTATATAGCTCGATCTACTTTTTAGTCTGAATTCATTTTTAGCCCTGAGCGACGAGCAGAAGATGAATAAAAATATAGATATATATCGGTGTATATATAGATAAGAGCAGTCGGCCTAAAAATCTACAGAAATGGCCGGCTTACTGGTTAGAAGAGATGGTTTATATTTGGCTCAGTAACTGAAAAGTAAGCCATGATCAAAGTAGCGAAGATCATCAGGGAGCTATCAACGGTAAAAACAAAAAAAAAGCCTAGAGATTTTTTGTTTGCTTGTTAATAATACAAAACAGTATTATTAACCCTAATAATAATTAAAAATTAAAAGAGAAGACGAAAAGTAATAATGTTGGACTTCTCAAACTTTGAAAATACTTTTTTTTTCTTTAGGTAAAAGTGAGAGGGGAAGATGTAGTTCACTCGAGAATTAAAAGAGAAAGTTTGTTGCTAAAAATAAAACGTTAGATGTATAAATAATATATTTTGGCAAAATATTTAAAATAGTTATTTAAGTAAAAACTGAATAAAAATGAAAAAGAACAACAAAGAAGTATTTCTCGGCGCAATTCACCGCGGGATAGAACGAAAATATTTTTAAAAATGATACTTCGTTTGTCTTTGAAATGAAAAAAGAAGAAAAATCTATACATTTAAGCTTTAAAAACAACAACAAAAAATCTCTTTTAAAACCCAAAACGTGGTTAAATAGACTTTAATTCGTCTTTTCCACGAGGTAAAGAATAATTAAAGCGACTTAAAAGCAGTCGCCTGAAAATACGTTAATGTTGGCTCATCTAAACAGGAAAAAGTTACAAGTGAGCCAAGAAAGCAAGCAGTAAAGAAACAAAGCGTAGCAGTGTTAATAAAATGACAGCGTGTATTAAAAAGATGAGGACGTTAAAAAAATGTGTGAAGTTATTGGAGAATAAGACAAGAGAAATTATATAGTAGCAGTAAAATTAGCACCCATGCAGCTCAAGTGTATTTTAAAAACCTTGATACGTGATCAAAACTGCCTCGCCTGACGTGGAACACAACACACTCTGATCTACATATATAGACCAACATAAATAATATCATCTGGAAGTTGTAGTTGAATGTGCTACTGCTAGCTAGCTTTTTGACTAAAACTACTACTTCCTACACTAGACTATCAGGGGTGGGGGCACCACCCCACACTTTCGCCCTTTCTGATTTGGTCTGCCAAAGCAGACTTACCAAATTTACTTGTTTTCGCATCGCTTTTATTCACCCCCCTCTTCTTCGTCGTCGTCGTCTCCTCTTGGCTTCTAACGAACAGAAGCAATATATCAACCTCCTATCACACACTGTTGATTATGAAGAACTTTACTGTTTTTGTTTTTTAATTTGTTTTTAATAATAATCATCCAATTTCGTTAATAATAGTAAATAATCCATAAGTTTAATTAATATTCCGAAAAATGTTCTAAAAGTCGTGATTTCGACATTTTTACGATTCAAAAACGAAAAAATGTTTTAGATTTAAAGTTAAAAAAAAATCGATCTAATTAAACTAAAATTTCATAAGGTTATTATTTAAGATATTTTTCAAAATTCGAAAACTACAAAAATAAAACAGGACAAGCAGCTATTAATAAATAAGTTACTTAACTACTAAGTGTAATTTACAATATTCATGTTTTTAATTTGGAAAAACCTGTCTCAGTTAAATAAAAAAAATCAAACTATTCCATGAAATTCTTGAAAATATTTAAAAGAAAAAAAAAAATCAAAACGAAGCGTGTTTCATAAGAATCTCTAAAATTATAGTGCCGGTATTTTTACACAAGATAGACCGACATGTTATTGTTACTGATCTTCTTGGATTCTTTCTGGTTTTAGATTTTTAACATGATCTGCAGTATCACAAAAACTATTGCGATTCGAGTAAAAAATATTATCACAAATAACACCTGATGATAAACAAGATAGAAAAAAAAATGTCGATTTCAATATTTACATATATTTTTTAATAAACCCCAAACTACGATTTACGAGGGAAAAAGTTGTACAAGTTTAAGTTTTAGTTTTTCAGGTTTCACTTCTTACTACATGTGGGGGGAAAAAAAGTCGTTAAGTACTCTGCATAAGTTAGGCATCATCCGTGTGAGTTCGTGTAGAATAGAAAGTTAGTAAAGAAAGAGGCTAATTTGAAATAAACGGGATAGAAAATATAATAAGTTGTTATAAGCTATGGTTAATAAATGAAGAAATGGATAACTAAATAAACAATCATGATCATAAACAGTAGCAAATCGAAGTAGAGCTCTAGCTAGATCATCGTTTAGTTGGGAGATAAGCCATATGTTCAGTACTACTTGAAACAGAAGAAAAAGGAAAGCCGATCAGGATAGAGGATAGATTTAAAAACTAGTAAAACATTTTAGAAACAAATTGAGCGGAGACTTGAAAAAAAAGAAAGAAAAAAAAAAAAAGAAGACATTTAACATACGTCTCTAAATCCTTGTTGGGTTCGGTTCTGGCTTGAGGCTCTGCCCTAATTTTGAGCTTTTCTTTCTTCTCTTTTTAGGGGGGAATAAAAATAAAAAAAAAAAGGTAAAATGTATAGGTATTTGTGTATGTATATGTATATATGTAGATTAAATTGTGATGTGACTTGGTTATATAAAGTTAAAATAAAAAACAAACAAAACTTTTCGCTTGTTTTTGATGTGTTGAATTTGACTTCTTGGTAGACCGATTTTTTGAATCTCAAACTCCGAGGAGTTTTTTTCTCTATAAAAAAAATACCCTGGCTGCTACATAATCCACACGAAATGGTATGGAATCAGTTTATAAACAACAACAAAAAAATAACCCTGAAAGAATGTCTCTTGGTAAAGCAACTACTGAATTATGGTAGTATCATTACCGTCCCTACCTACTTTTAATAGTACTGATTTACAGTAAGAGTGATTGACTAGGTTTTGTCACTACGGATGACCGAAGTCGGCATAATTTGTTAGGGCACTTGTATTATTACTGTTAGAGTAATTGGAAAAAAAAATTAATAGTACAAGACAAAATTTTAAAAACTCTAGAAAAATAGCTTTAAAAAAATTAAATATTTTTAATTGAAACTATAACACTTCAAACGAGATTTCGAGGTAAAAGAAACTTTATTTATATAACTGTAGTGTACTAAAACAAGCACGCATAGCTCATTTTGTAAACACGTAGAGATTCGTTTCAAATCTAAACAATACAGATTTTATTTTTAACACTCTAAAAAAAAATTGTTTAACACATACAACATTCACTAAAGTTAGTTTTGAAGAAGAAAATAAAAAGAATTCTACCATTGATTTTTTTTTAAAGGGAAAAAAAATCAATTTGAACGCAAACCAAATTTGGCTTGGCTCAATCGTCGAGTTAATCCGGTCATTACCAAAACCAAGTTGGTAAGCAGAAAAATAGAAGGGGGTATATTTGTTATGCTCCAATGTTGAATTCAGTTCTGTTTACATTGATACCCACCAAAACTGGTTAATTAATAACAGTACCAACTACAAACAATATTTAAGAAATCACTTTATGATTCAACACAAGTAATTTCCCTTTTTCGAGACTATACATAATTTTAAAATTAAACGCACAAAGACCTTAACATAAAATAAAGGTTGTTTGTGGAACAGCAAGTGAAAATAGAAATATTTTTCATCGCAAAATGAAGGGAAAAATCATCAGACGAAGTGAACTTTCTCCTTGGAATCAGGAAGAGAAAACATTTGAAGTTCATAACGAGGCTGAGAAAAACGGAAACGCTGGCATTATAGCCACCTCGAGCATCCGTAACTAATGGAAGGGAGATTGTGATTAAACACGCG